CACTATGTACTTTGCGGTCTGGGTGAGAGACATGAATTGTGGTCTGGGCAAGACAGATGTACATTATGTTCTATTTGAGAGAGAGGTGTACATTGTAGTCTGGATATGCTTAGTACGCCTGAAGGGACTTATTTGCTGCTGAACGTGTCGAAATGGAAACCAGTAAAATGTGTTCCATTTCCCTGGCACATACCAAAGAAAAATTAGCTCATTGAGATGTAAAAGATAGGGGGGTCTCACCTTTTGGCTTCCCTTCCAGAAACATAACAACATTTACACAGCACCTTTTTCATATTGGAAGGACATCTTGAGACTGTTGGCTGGGTACCTGAGCTGGGGGTGGGAAAAGGGGAAGGTGTGTTGGGAAAAAGATGAACGAAAGCGCGGTCAAAGAGTTAGATCTTGATGTGCCCCGAAAAGGAAGGGAGGGAGTTGGAAGGACTGGAGATCCAGAGAGTGGGGGCAAAATGGCGATGGTGGGGCAGCCATGAAGCAAGTTGGTGTTTGTTGGGCAAAGGGAACAGCTGAGATTGCAGATGTAGGGGGAGGGGTAGGGTGTGAAGGACTTAGAGGCCGAGGGAAGCTTCGATCGTCTGCCCTCTCTTTTAAAGCCCTCCACGGTCTTGCTCCTGACAACCTCTGTGACCTATTAACATCATACCTACCTGTCCACTCCCTCAGCTCCCCAGGCCCTGCTTGCCCCACAATCACGGTTGAGCCTTGAACCTTTCTGCCCACCCTCTGGAACTCCATCCCCGAATCTCTCTGCCTCTCCCCCTGCCTTGTCTCCTTCAAAGCCTGTCTTTGACCGGGCCTTCAGCCACATTTCCATCTCCACCACTCTCGATTCCAACCCCCAGCTCGGAGTGCAAACACTTAACTGCAGCGCCTTCGAATGACCTTCTGATGTGAAAGGAGCTAAATAAATGTAATTTGTTGTTGTTGGATCTTTAACATACACTTGAACAGACAGAACTTTGGTTTAACTTCTTACTTGAAGAACAGTTCAGTGCTCCTCCAACAATGTACTGGAGTTTCAGCCTCCATGAGCTCAAGAATCCCCGCTGTAGGCTTGAACTTATCTGCTTTTTGCAGCAGATCAACATAAATGTAATAATCCATCTCTGACATAGGGGAAAACAAATAATCTGACTTGTCCTTATGAGGTCAAACTGTTATACTGTGAAAGGATAATCAATGAATTTCCGCCTCATAATGCTGAGGTTTGCAACTGAGGGGCAGCATCTCTGACAACCAGAGGACATTTGGTGTTTGTGGGAACTGAATCCCAGTGAATGAAAAAGGATGTCGAACACTTTCAGAAAAGGAAAAATGCAGACATTGTGCAAGAAAGGTGCACTAAATTAGATGAGAAAAAAAACAACACTTGATAGATTTGAAATAACTGAACAATACGATTTACATTTGTATAGAGCCTTTCAGGTTGGGCGGAAATCTCGAAACTCTTAAAACAACTGATGGGACACTCAAGCTGGACGAGGGCAGGGGGGCGTAGGAGAAAAAAAGGTCAAAAGATGAATGTCTTGGAAGACTTAAGTCTGGAAAATAAGGCGGGAGGGGAGTTATAGTTTTACAGTTATGTTAGGTACTGTTCAGATTATTAGGTTGTCAAAGTTCCAGTGACATTGCAGGTATAGACATCGATTTACCTGCCTTTCATGTGAATGGTAATTATTCTTATACATTTTCAATGATAAAATGCCTTGAGATGATTTTTTTTCTGTTTTAATCTGCAGGGGTCAATACAAAGTCGTTTACATGACTCCTGAATTCTGTTCAGTGTCGACTTTGCTGCTCAAGGAATTGAATGACAAAGTTGGTACGTGTCATCATATTCTTTAAGAGTTTTCATTTGTTCAGTGTAGCTGGTAACTCTAAATGGTTAGGAAACAAAATAACTTGCATTTTTATAGTACCCTTATTACATCCCAAAGCACTTTTATTGGCATTTCATCTCAATGGCTGTTGTTGTTGCCAAATACAGCAATCATTTGCACCAGGACATTTTCAATTAGTGTTGTAGAATTGTTAATGTCTTCCTAATGAAACCCGAGTTTAATGCCCCATTTATAATAATAAGCCTTGCATTTGATTTAGCATCTTTAAGACGTTTCAAAGTGCTTCACAGAATATAATGTAAAGTGAATTCACTGTATATTCTGTGGGCGAAACATGGCAGCCAACTACGCACAGCAGTGTCCTACAAACAGTCGTTGATTGAGTGACCAAATTCTTTTTTTTAAAGGGTTTTTACTCCCTGAAGAGCCTTATTGGGTAGGCTGGTCCTAGCTGGGTAAGCGGTGGAAAAGCTTGCCAGACAATGCTCTCAGTGACTAGCTCTGCGGTTTTAGCTGGTTGGACACCACCAGTTAGCCCAACACACACTTGGGTCCCCAAGCATTGGCTCTTCCCAACCTGCGTTTAATCTCTGGAACTAGATAAGTAGAATATGCTCCTCCAGGGAATGCATTCCATTCCAATGCACAGGAAGTTTCATGTGTAGGCGGGATGCATGGAATTCTCAGTTTGGTTCGGAACCGCTTAAGCTGGTTTCCACATGTGTCAGACAGACCAAACAAAAGTACAGATAGATGTTTCTGTGAAACCACCTTCACCTCCTTGAAGTAGCTTCAGCAGGTAGTTTCCAGCATGAATTGCTTTACAATCATGTGGCTCAAACCTGATTTATGCTGTTCTAATCACTACAGAGCTGCTCTGGTGGGACCTGGAGCAGAGGTGAGAGGGGTTTGTCCCCAGGGAGGCAGATCAGAGACTGCTCTTGTGACCGTCTATTGCCCTGCTGTAAAACAATATCGTTGGAATTCTGAGAGTACGACTCTGTCATTTCAACCAGAGAAATAACCTGGGCCAATAGAAAATTGCACAATATTTGACAAAAATTGCGGGGGCGTTTGATCAAAAGTGGAAAATTGCGGGGTGTTGGTTGGTGCTACTGAGAGAAGCATTTTGTGAAACAACCTGGATTAAAACTATAGGCATATATTTCCTGAACATGTAGGTGTGTTTAAAATACCAATATGTTAATGTGAATAGTATAGCACTTACCAAGAATTGGTCACACAAGCTCAATTTGGGCCGGGATAAGATGTACTTTTCTATTGGCCCAGGAAACAACCCCCAATTTTAAAATCTCATTATAAGACTTGCCACTTCGACTGCATATACAGACAGCCACCTCCCCCTTCTCCCATGCTTGAAGTCCAACCCCGTCACTGTACAGCGCTCCCAAGATTCTATCCTGCAGGAAAGGCACCATGGAAATGCAAGTAGTCGTTTGTTGTATAGTTGGGGAAGACTATGGAAGGAGATGTGAGAAGGATTACAGCTTTTGGAACAATTGATTTGCAGTAATCTGTTGCCGATGGTTGTCACCCAAGCTTTTCAAAGAGCCGGCACAGACACGCTGTATAATCCTATGATTCTATGACAGCATTAGGTATCAATAAGACCATTTTGTTTATCTCTCTTGACAGGTATTACGCTTGTTGCTGTGGACGAAGCTCACTGTATTGCTGAGTGGGGACATGATTTCAGAAACTCCTACAGAAAGTTAGGAATTTTAAAAAGTATTCTGCCTAAGGTGAGCTGATAATTAGCGACCAACAACAACAAATTACACTTACACAGCGCCTTTCATATCAGGAGGATGTCCCAAAGCGCTGTTCAGTCAGAGATTTGGACCCGACTTGGGGGTTGGAATCAGAGGAATGTTTGAGGACAGGGAGGGTAGGGGTAAGAGGTTGGCTGAATGCGCGGTTGAAAAGGAGGGACTTGAGATGTTGTTTGAAGGAGGCAAGGGAGGAAGCAAGACGAAGGGACTGTGGCTGAAGGCCCGACTGCCGATGGTGGGGTGGACCAGACGTGGGATGTGGAGCAGGCGAGAGCCTGCTGAGCAGAGGGTTGATAAGGAGTTAGCAGGTCACAGAGGTAGGGAGGAGCAAGGCTGTGGAGGGACCTTGAAGGCGAGGACGAGGATTTTGAACTCTATCCTCTGGGGGTTGGGGAGCCAGTGAAGCCAGGCGAGGGCGGGTCACGGAGCCTGGTACGAGAGAGGATATGAACTGCAGAGGAGATGAGGTTGGAAATGCCTAATTTGTGATGTATGCTGGGGTATCACCCATCCACCTACATACAACAGTACTGGGCTTGTCTCCCTCCCTTTCCACCAGAAGCTTTGCTGCCTGTTCCATCAACCACTGTATGATAGCAGACCCCAAGAGATGGCCTGGAATGTGGAGTGGGGTGGGAGGAGGATGGGGTTGCTGCTCGAGAGAAATTTTAGGCACAGAAACTCCTCCAAGTCTCTCGGCGACTGGGCATTAAAGATCTGAGGGAGATGAATTACAGAGTTGTAAAACTACTCCAATCCTGGAAGTAGTGATCTTTTCCTCCAAAACTCCAAAACAAAGCGTTTTGTTCGACCCTGAGCTGTCCTTTCTCCCTCACATCCGCACTACAACTGGCACCGCCTTCCATCACCTTCGGAACATCGCCAGACTACGCCATTACCTCACTCCTCACGCTGCTGAAACCCTGGTTCACGCCTTTGTCACCTCAAGGCTGGACTATGGGAACTCTCTCCTCGCCGGCCTTCCCGCCACCTCCCTCCACAAGCTGCAGGTCATTCAGAACTTTGCAGCTTGTGTACTGTCCCGCACCAGCTCCGGACCACATCACTCCCACCCTCGCTCGCCTCCACTGGCTCCCCATCCCCCAGAGGATTGATTTCAAGATCCTCATCCTCACCTACAAGGCCATCCACGGCCTTGCTCCCTCCTAGCTCTCCAACCTACTATCCCCCTACCTACCTGCCCGTACCCTCCGTTCCTCTGGCTCTGGTCTGCTCCACGTCCCCCGCCCCAACCGCCCTACCATCGGTGGTCGGGCCTTCAGCCTCTCAGCCCCCAGGCTCTGGAACTCCATCCCCCAGTGCCTTCGCCTTGCTTCCTCCCTTTCCTCCTTCAAGGCCGGTCTCAAAACCTTTCTCTTTGACCGTGCCTTCAGCTCCCCTCTCGACTCTCTTCCCCCTCCTCGCTCCCTCCCTTCCCTCCCCTCACCCTGACCATTTCCCCCTCCTTGCTCCCTCCCTTCCCTCACCCTGACCATTTCCCCCCTGCTCGGGTCATGACCCAACTGTGCAGCGCCTTGGGACGTCCTCCTGATGTGAAAGGCGCTTTATAAATGGAATCTTGTTGTTGTTGTTTATAATAACCTTGGCCAAGCTTTCAGATGTTAAGTGCGATATTGGGGATCTCCCTCTGTCTTCCTCTCCATCTCATTCCCTCTGCCTTAAAAGTCCTGCCATAAAACCTACCTCTTCAACTGCACTGATGGTCACCTTGCCCCTTACCCTCTCACTTCCCTGCTCGGCATCTAACCCTGCCATTGTAAAGTGCTCTGAGACGTTTATGAAACTACTTTTTAAATGCAAGTTGTTCTAGAAATTTCCCATTTTAAAGTGATTTAGTGAAAACGATGGCTACTTTTAGGAATCAACCTTAGACCACAGACATGTGAAGATATGATAAAGCTAGCAGGATATCATATAGATCGAGGGTGGGAACACGGGCGGAGAGAGGGCACGGGGTGTCAGATATAGAGAGATGTAAAGGTAGCTTCAGAAACGTATTGGGTAGAGCAAATGTTGAGGGCTGGAGTGAGTGGAGAAATTGGCTTGGCTTTTTGGCTTAATAGTGCAAAAATCATCATCAATTCTATAAAATGGTTCATTTTTCACACAGTCAATTTGTGTCTTTGCATTACCTTTGATAGAGAAACAATGTTATGACAAAGATTACTTCAAAGCAGTAATCTTGTAAAGGGCAAATATTGTAAAGGACTTTTCTAATCTGTCTACTTAATCAATCACTGTGTGTGTGTGTGTGGTGTATGTGTGTGAATGTATGTGGTGTGTATATTTATGTGTGTGTGTGTACCTTTGTGTGTATCCATGTCCTTGTGTGTATGTATTTGTGAGTGGCTGCATGTGCACGTATATGTGTTTGGGTGTGTGTGGGGCTGATTGCAAGTATGTATGTACATACACGGTGACCAAAAAGTTGTGATACCATTACAATGTCTAATAAGTCTGAAAGAAATTATGATATATACATTTTTTAAAAATAGAGTATTTAACACACTTTTTGGTCACTCTGTATATATGCAAATGGTTATATTTGTGGGTAACGATAATAATAATTCTTGCATTTGATAAAACGCATTATCACATCTTTGAGACGTCTCAAACTGCTTCACAGAAGCAAGGAGACTGTGCCTGCGGGCGCCTCCCCTTTCACACCAGCTCTGGGTCTAAGTATTCTAGCATTAGCTCTCTGAGACACTGCCCTGTGTGAACGGTGGAGTCCTGATAGCTCAGTGGTTAGAGCACTCGTCTCGCAAGCGACAGGCTTGGGTTCGATTCCCGGCAGGGCGAAACCAGGACAAGTTTCCTTATCTAGCAACAAGTAGGAACCTGGTTGTTAGTCGTTTGGCGGATCGTTTTTCCGGGGGTGGTAATACCTTTTTAAAAAAAATTGGTCACTCAATCTACGACTGTTCCTGGGCAACTGCTGTGCACAATTGGCTGCCGCCTTTCACCCACAAAATGTAGAATCAGTCCACTTTACAGTATATTCTGTGAAGTGCTGTGAGAAGTGTTGAAAACGTGATCAGACGTTATATCTAATGCAAGGATTATTATTATTATAAATACAAGTTGTTGTTGTGATAGGTTCCTTTCGTGGCCTTGACCGCCACGGCCAGCCCTTCGATCAGGCGTGACATTGCAGAGAGTCTTAACCTGAACCAGCCACAGATCACCTGCACCAGCTTCGACCGACCCAACTTGTACTTGGAAGTTATGCGTAAATCTGCAAATATTCAACAAGATTTAAAGCTGTTCTTAATTAAAAACAAACAGTACGTACTGACTTAACTCGAATCGCAAAATGTTCTTTTTTTTCAAAAAAAATTAACTATTCAATTAGTTTTCATCTGTTTTGGTGAACCTCCTGGACATGTGCTTTGTCTTAAAATGGTAGGTCCTCCTTTGAGTTCGAAGGCTCCACCATAATCTACTGCCCCTCCAGGAAGATGACAGAACAAGTGACTGCCGAGTTATACAACCTGAATGTTTCATGTGACAGATACCATGCCGGCATGGGCATCAAAGCCAGGAGAGAGGTGCATCATAAGTTCATGAGGGACGAAATTCAGGTGTGAAGTTATTTATATGATCACTTTTTCGATTGAACTGACAAGATGTTCTGAAAGGAAAACCAATTTAAGGTCATGAATCACACTGATTCCTTGGAAGTGCTTGTGATTTTTTTGCCTATTTTCTTATCCCTACCCTCCCCACCCAACTCAAACGGACAGCATTAGAGATATTGCAGTGGAAGCTAACATGAAAATACTTCTGCAAGTCAAAGCCCAAATGAGTAGGCTGGTTGAAGCTGGACAAATAACAGGAAGCTTGTCATACAGTAGGCACCAGCAGTACCCCAATGCACTGCAGTGCCCAAATCCTGAAACTGGATGCCCAAACCTTAGCTCTTGCCAACCTGCACCTAATCCTCTTCGAAATTTAAGTTGGTTGCAGCCATATGTAGATGCCCTCACCCCAAAAAAAAATAATTTGGTGACTTCAATCCATGACTGTGGAACACTACTGTGCGCAATTGGCTGCTGCATTTTGCCCACAAAATATACACTTTACAATTCACGTTACAGTATATACTGTGAAGCGCTTTGAGACGTCTCAAAGATGTGATAAGGTGCTATATCAAATGCAAGTATTATTATACACTAAGTGGACCTCAGTCTAATTTGGATACTTAAGCATTTTAATGATTTTTTATTTGTGTCAGACAAGTGCAAAGTCAAGTGCTGACCAGATTAAAAAGTAGCCCAACATGTCTGACTTTCTGGGTAGCTAAATTAGTTAATCCTCTGATCCTAAGCATTCGCTTAATACCAGAATGTTCTGGGATTGAATCCTGGTCTGGCTGGATCCATTCAACCTTTTGCCCTTTGAAAGTCAATGAAACATCTTCCTGAATGAGTCTGTGGGATTGTAGACCACATGTAATTTTCATTGAAAGGTCTATGTTTTCAATTTGATCTTTTTATTTTCAGTGCATAGTTGCTACAGTTGCTTTTGGTATGGGGATCAACAAACCTGACATTCGAAATGTCATTCATTATGGAGCCCCCAAGGAAATGGAATCGTACTACCAGGAAATTGGCCGGGCTGGGCGAGACGGATTGCCGAGTACTTGTTATGTCTTGTGGTCCCCTGGGGACATGGTGTTAAACAGGTACAGAAGTTGAGCTTCATCTCCTCCTCCATTCCACAATCCCTTCGCTTTGCTCCCTCCCTTAATAACATGATAAGGTGCTATATCAAATGCAAGGATTCTTCTTCTTATTCCCTTACCTACTTGGAGTCCTGTAGCTCAGTGGTTAGAGCACTCGCTTTGCAAGCGAGAGACCTGAGTTCATTTCCAGGCAGAGGGCGAAACCTTGGGCAAGTTTCCTTACTCCACACAGAGCCTAATAATAATCCCTCCAAAACCAAAAACAATAATAAATTGGTCATTTTCAATCTACAACTGTTTGTGGGACATTGCTGTGCGCAATTGGCTGCCGCGTTCGCCCACAAATATACAGTCAATTCACTTTACAGTGTGTTCTGTGAAGCGCTTTGAGACGTCCTCCCGACGTGAAAAGTGCTATATCAAATGCAAGGATTATTATTATTATTATTATTACTTCAAGAGGGAGGAGAGAGAGTGCCCGAGAGGGAGAGAGAGAGAGTCCCCGTGAGAGGGGAGAGAGAGTGCCTGAGAGAGAGAGGGAGGAGAGAGAGCGCCCGAGAGAGAGAGGGAGGAGAGAGAGTGCCCGAGAGAGAGAGGGGAGAGAGAGTGCCCGAGAGAGAGAGGGGGGAGAGAGTGCCCGAGAGAGAGAGGGGGGAGAGAGAGTGCCCGAGAGAGAGAGGGGGAGAGAGAGTGCCCGAGAGAGAGGGGGGAGAGAGAGTGCCCGAGAGAGGGGGGAGAGAGAGTGCCCGAGAGAGAGTGCGCGAGAGAGAGAGAGGAGAGAGAGTGCCCGAGGAGGTGGGGAAATAAGGACAGACACTGAGTGACGAGACGTGGAGTTTCCTCATAGAAACTCCCTCTTTCCCCAGTGAGAAATTCCTCTACGTCCTTCATCCCCCCCACCTCACCTCTGTGACCTCCTGAGCCAGCCGTTCCCTTTGGCCAACACCAGCTTGCTTCAGGTGCCCCCACCCCATCAGCTCCACCATCGCCATTTTGACCCCGCTCTCCGGAGTTCCATTCCTCAGGTCCTTCTGACTCTCCCTCTCTCCCTTCTTTCAAGACCTAACTCTTTGACTGTACTTTTCTTCATTTTCAGACACCTGCTGAGTGAAATTCATAACCCAAAGTTTCGAGAGTACAAAATGAAATTGATGGCAAACATAGAACAATACCTCACGTCATTCAAGTGCAGAAGAACGTAAGTAACTTTTGTAGCTGATTGTTCAGTTTATGGAGGATCAGCTGTATATGACACCCGCACAGACTGTACAGTAGGAATTGTACTTCACACCCATACGGTGCTATCTCCTTCAACCTTGCCAACCTAGCTACTCCCTCCACTCAGCGAACACCAGCCTGCTCTGGGTCCCCCACCCGACCTTTCCCACCATCTGTGGGTCAGCAAACAGCCATCCTGCCCCCTATCTCTGGAGCTCCATCACAGATTACCTCCACCTCTTCCCCTCCCTCCCCACTTTTAAGACCTACCTTGAACTGCGTTTTCAGTCATCTTCTCTTCCCGCATCCCCCACAGAGCTCGCGTGAAGCTCTTTGAGGTGTTTTTCCCTTCACCCAGACTAATGTGAAAGCCGCTATGTAAATCTAATTGTATTGTATTAAGGCTATTAATCACTCATCTGCATGGTGCAATGTGTAGCAAATACATTCTCTGCTGAGTGAAATAATTCACTAGGCATGGTAGGGTGCTTTGTAAGAGTAGGAGGGATGACGATTTGGTTCTGTCACTCCACTGATCTCACAATCTTATCTACATTGCAATAGTTAGGGATCAAGCACAGGCAGGGAAATTGGAAAAGGAGCAGCTTCCAAGTCCGACCTGCACAAAAGCTTTTGGTGCTCAGCTATGACATTCGCCTCAATCCTTAACCTGAGGAGAGCAGCCCTTTTTGCATTTTTTTTTGGTCAGCCGGGTGTCTGACACGCGGAAACCCATCACTGTGATCTCCCTGGAGGGACGCTTCCTGTTTACCTAATTCTGGAAAGTATTAGGTGCAGGTTGGCAAGAACAAAGGCTTGGGGACCCCAGAGTGTGCTTGGGGTAACTACTGGAGTCAAACCAGCTAAACCAGCATAGCTTATCATTGATATTGCAAGCTTTCCCGCTGCTTGTCCAGGTAGGACCACCGCCCCCACCCATGAGGGCTTTGGCTTGCAGGGTTAACATGAGCTGAGCGGGATGACTCCCTGCCTCCAGTGAGTGGTCTGCCTTTCTAGGTGCTGCCAATGAGCCAGGCTGGGCTGTGCTGTCATCAGCAGTGCCCTGGAATACCATAGACCCGCCTGGCACAGGAATCGGACTAGAGACCATCATAGAGGGTTGGCTCGATTCCGACATTTCATTGCCAGGCATGTCACCTTGAAGCCAGTTCAGCTCCAATGAGCCCCTGCTTACCTCCCTCCAAGGAGGATTGTCACTAGTTGGTCCTTTGACATCCGACCAGCGCAGGAACCAGGCACCTTCTGTGAGCTTCCTGGAGGGCAACACAGCTCGGCATGAAATGTGTGAGAGCATCACCACCTTCTTCCTGCCCACAGCTTGGGTCACATTCCTTCCCATTGAGAGATGGTCCCACTAGTTGGAGATGCGGAGTTTAGCAGCAGCTGCCGGTCTCTCTGCAGCCAATCAGGGTGGGTTCCAGGCGCTGGGCATATGAATGTGTCTCACAAACTGGGATCCAGGTAACACCTTCCAGCAGCTGTCGCCCCAAGCCTCAAGAGTTCCTCATCAGCTGTTGGGCATCTGTCTTCAGTATGGTGTGAGGACCTTTGCAGGACAGTTTGTGCCTTTTTGCATCTGTGTATCACCCACTGAATCTCTGACCGAGAACATCAATTTGATCCCTGCTTTCTTTAATTAATTTGTGAAGTTAACAATAAAAAGTATTTGTCAAATTTAAGGGTTAAATAGCAGTACTGCTGAAACATAAATATGTTCACCCAATGCAGTACAAATTATTGTTTGTGTTTTTCCCTCCTCCCTCCCCACTCTAACTCTCTCATAGAATGATCTTGTCTCACTTTGAAGACAAACAACTTCGCAAGGTGACTCTTGGTATCTTGGGGACTGAAAGATGCTGTGACAATTGTAGATTAAGGTAAGCAATTAAGCAGGTATCATTCAGTGTGGAGTTGAAAGAGTTGCTCAAATAGGAAAACCAGTGTGTAAATAGCACGAATGCTGTTCAACATAATTCAGAACATAAAGTGGGTTTTGTTCATTTACTTTGGGTCAATGTATGAGAGCTCAGTTCTAGCTACTCTTCTTGGATTGGAGCAAAGTTCTCGTGAGTTTTCCTGATAGAGATCCCCTTCACCAGATGTACTTTATGGCTGTCGACTGCAATGGGCCAGTTCTGTATTACATTTAACTTAAATAAAATTGTTAACTTAAAATCTTTTAGGTTTTTGGACACTGAGATAAGCAAGCTCACAGAGACAGGTGCTTCTTCAATACTATGTTTTATTTCAGAAGTCTTTATATACACTAAAAGAAATGCCACCCTCCCCTTCAATCCATCATCAGTTTCCAATCGTGTTGCAATTTTCATCTGCCACACTTTCCTTACAAGCAGCTATTTTTGTCAAATACTGTCCTCGACTGTTTAACCTATACTTAAGAGAGCAAAGACATCAAACAATTCGCATTGGTTACCCCACACACCCCCCCACGCGCGTGCGCACACACACACTATATTCTGTTTCTTAGAGTTTGGTAATGCTACTCCCACGTCCGCTTACCAAAGCTCCTCTCATCACACATCTATTTTTTCTGCATAACTACTCAAAGACATTAGATAAAGGAAAAACAGCCATGATTCATTTCTATCAAGGTTACAAAAGTTGGCAGGAGAATTTCATTTATAAAGGTATAGCAGTACAAATGTTAAGTAACTTCCATTATAAGCAAAATGCATAATAAAACAGCATAATAGTCAATTTAACAGAATCTAATGGTTTATAATGTTAACGTGATTAGTAATATATGATTCATACTGGCAAAGCTTAGTAATAGAGTGTGTGTGTATGTGTGTGTGTGTATATATATATTTTCTTATGATGCATCATTTTTATGCCAAGAACAACATATCCAGGATAGTTCAAGGCTTTTTTAATGGGCTTCGCATCATTTACATTTGTAGTTTTCCTGACAGGCACCTCTGTTTTGGATTTTTTTTAATAAAATGTTGAAATATACAATGAAAACCAGGAGGTCTAGTGACAACATTCCAAAAGAATTCAGCATTTTTGCTTTGTTTTTCTGACATTTTTTCTCCCATTCCTTCCTTGCTCACTTCCTGGATAGGGATGAAGATGTTTGACCACCTTCTTCCTTCTACCTGGGTACAATTCCCAGTCTTCCAGTACCTCTCCCAAGAGCCCACTATTTATATGTGAGGCTTTACTGTGAATGACGCAGGTTATTCTATCACAGCTGAACCCAATCTTGTCCTCATCCGATGTCACCACATGCACAGCTTATTTCAGGGATCTCTGCATGGTTACAATAATAATCCTTGCATTTATCATGTCTGTGTGTAATTGGCTGCTGCATTTTTCCCATAAAATATTACAGTCAATTCACTTCACAGTATATTCCATGAAGTGCTTTGAGACATGTTGAGAAGATGTGATAAGGCACTATATCAAATGCAAGGATTATTATTATATAACTGTAAGGATTGAGCAGTGCATGCAAAGCTTAATTGGATTGTTGTATACACGGATCAATTCCTGTTCAGGTGATGCCCATTCACCTCCTGTTTGCTGCTGTAGGGCAAACAGCTGTGGCCTCGCAGATGATCCACAAGATGAACTGCAAGATTTTGGGAAGGAAGCGAGACAGCTGTTGAGTGCAGTAAGTGCATTGGGGGAGAAATGTGGCCTCGGAGTTCCCGTCCTGCTGCTGAGAGGATCTGTAAGTCTTTTATTGCTGTTGCAACCATTAAACACAAAAGTAATGTGCATATAAAAATGCTTTTGTTTGCCAAATTCAGTTTTATTTTAAATATCTAATGCCAAAGATTTTGTTTTCTCTGCCTTCACGGCTGTCAGATGAGCTTTTCACCCACTCTCTAAGTGACAGTGTTTATGTTGTGTCATAGAATCATGAGATTTCAGCACAGAAGGAGTCTGGCTATTTGATCACCAAGTAGAAAGTCTCTTTTGAAAAAATAAATCCCATGTTGTCTACTTAGGAAATCTTTTGAGGTCAAAATTTTGGTATTTTATGTTCCTTAATTAAGGAACAGAAATGTGCATTGCAATACAATTTTCACTTCTCTCTTTTATGTCAGAAGGACATGAAGACATTACCTGATTTCTGATTTCTGAGTAATAGCTACTGCCAAAAACCTCAGTGAAAATGCTGTGAGTCATGGCAAAGGAACCAGAGGGGAGATGAGGAGAAAATGAGTGCAGTCTGGAGTGCACTGCCTGAAAGGGTGGGGAAACAGATTCAATAACAACTTTCAAAAGGGAATTGGATAGGTATTTGAAGAAGAAATATTTTCAAGCATATGGGGAAAGCAGCTCGTCCAAAAAGCTGGCACATGCACGATGGGTCGAATGGCCTCCTTCTGTGCTGTAATATTCTATTATTCCATATTCCCTCATAGCATGGCCACTATTCAGGGAGCTGATTTACAGGATGATAGTTTCGTTAAAGTAATTATCATGAAAAGTTGCAATCCCAGATCCACAATTTCAACTTTGGGCAATTTAAACAGTGATCTGTTTTGGCCTGTACCATATCTGGTGCATCTGTGTTAGTAGTTTGCATCAGCCATATGTGCTATTTTCCAGGCCCAGCTTCGTGGATAGATGGACAATCAGAGTAATTCAATAGCATTCAATAGCATTCCTAAATTAAAGTGTGACATGTATTTAGGAATCCTGAAATTTTACCCATCTTTGTGCGTATTGAAGTGGAGTAAAACAAACCTCCATATTCCTTTATTTCCCATTCTTTATTGATGATATAGGAGTATTCCCATTTTAAGTCCCATCAGGACAGACTCACAATTCAACAAATAAACAGATGGGAGTAATCGTTGAGTGATGAATGATCAATGTCTCACCCTTGTATCTGTAGCACTCTCAGCGCTTACCAATCTGGAATCGTAAAAGTCCTCTCTTCGGCATTGGAAAGGACCGCTCTGAGACATGGTGGAAGGCCTTGGGCCGGCAGCTGATCTTTCAGGGGTTTCTGCAGGAAGATTCGATGGCAAGGAACAAATTTGCTGTGTTGTGCCACTTGTCTGCTAAGGTTAGCTTTGGTATTTGTTTTTCGTCTTGGAGAACAGGGCAAATCACAAAGAATTCACACCAGTTATCACTCAATCGTTAAATTTAGCAGCACAATGATCAACAACAACAAAAACTTGCATTTATATAGCACCCTTCACACGGGTAGCAACTTGGAGTGCTTAACAGCCATGTGGTTGGACGCCGAACTGGAAAGGCAAAGGAGGTGACTGAACACGCAGTTCAAAGAGGAGAGCCTTCAGGTGTGATTTGAACATGAGTAAAGCGTGGGCAAAACAAAGGGATTGAGGCTACGAGTTCCAGAGATTTGGGACAGGAACGTGCGAATACAGGATGAACATCTCAAAGCACTTCAACAACAACAAAATTACATTTGTACAGCGCCTTTCATGTTGGGAGGATGTCACAAGGCGCTGGACAGTCAGTGTTTCGGACCCGAGCTGGGGATTGGGATTGGTGTGGATGGAGGACAGGGGGGAAGGGGAGTGACTGAAGTCATGGTGGAAGAGGAGGGTCTTGAGACGGGTCTTGCAATGGTGGGAAGTTAAAGGAGGGCAAGTTAAAACTAGTTGACTGTTTTAAGAGGGTTTTGATAGCAGGGAGAGGAGTAAGTTGAAGATATTTTTGAAGAGGGTTCCAGAGAGCAAGGGCATTAGAGTTGAAGGTTAAACCCCTGAGTAATGGTGTGACAGGAACGAGCGAGGAACAAGGAGTAAATCATAATTGGAAGAGCAGAAGGTATGGATCGGATAATAGCGCTGGAAGAGAATGCATAGTTTTTCAGGGGCGAGACAGTTCAAAGATTTGAAAGTCAGAACGAGGATCTTCAGGCTGATCAGCTGGGATACAGGAGCTGGTGGAGCCTGGTGGGGCAGACTAAATTAAAAATCCATATCAATTATATATTATGTTGTGGAGTCCTGTAGCATGTTGGTTAGAGCACTTGTCTCGCATGTGAGAGGACATGAGTTTGATTCCCGGGCAGGGCAAAACCTTAGGCAGGTTTCTACTTAACAGTAAGTAGGAACCTGCTTGTTAGTCGATTGGCGGATTGCTTTTCCGATTGTAATAATCCCTTCAAAAAAAACAATAACATTTTAAAAAATGTGGTCACTCAATTCACGACTGTTTGAGGGACACTGCTCTGAGCAATTGTCTGCTGTGTTTCGCCCACAAAATGTACAGTCAATTCACTTTGCAGTATATTCTGTGAAGCGCTTTGAGAAGTTTCCCAAGAAATGCAAGGATTATTATTACTATTATTGTAATATTAAGTATGCAAATGGTATGATTGAACATTCAATATGCGATCAGGTGGAGAAATCAAATACTTTTTGATTGGGGTGATGTAAAAGTGCAGTAACTAGGCTCTACAGAATGTATTTGAAATGGTAGATTTAACAATGTACAACATCCAAATCAAACAACCATGTTTGTAACGCAGCTAAAACAATGCCTATATTTATGCATATTTTGCATTTAGTTTCCTAGCAACTGTGTCTCGCAACACAGTTCTAAATCCCCACCGATACAATGATTTTCCAGAGAATCCTTCAATCCTTTCAATTTGGTGAACTTTCAAGAATGTTTGGCCCTTTAAATTAGAGAGAGATCTATTTTGGGATAATTTGTTCATTTCAATATCTTAAGGTCATTTTTAAAACTAAATTTCACAAGTGGGCCTGTTGTGTTTGCTCCTCTCATCTCCTGATGATAAAGTCCTTAAGGATTCAGTTATTTTTTAGGATTCCTTTTCCTTTAAGATTTTAAAACGATAGCTTTCGTCAGATGATCAAAGTTAATTTAAGCAATATTTTATGCAAAAACAAACCTTCCCTAACTGGCACCAAGTGATGTTCCACAACAGTTTCTGTCATAGCCATATTCAGTAACTGCGAAAGGGAATTGTTTAGTTGAGCTCATTCATAATTGTAAATGTTCAGCCTAGTCCTTTGGGAGCTTTATGGATCTGACGTTATAGCTCCAGTAGGTGTGTTTGACCCTGACACTGGGGACATTGTCCGTGTGTGTTATTGACATTGACAGAGTACAAGTGTGAAGAGCGTATATAAATGCAAGTTGTTGTTGTGTTTCAGCTCCTGGGGAAGTCTTCCCAACGTGAAAGGCGCTATACAAATGTAATCTTGTTGTTGTTGTGTGATATAGACACTGGGTCAGTGTGGGTGTCTTTGACCCTAACACTGGGTACAGTGTAGATGTTTTTAATACTTACGCTGGGACGTTTTTGTACCACATTTTCCTATCAATATGATTTATTATCTTCAGTGAAGGGACGATGGCTGTGCGACTTGTGTGTGTTTTGAGAAGTGAATGCGGGTTTTCCTGGGAAGAATCTGGAAGTTTTGAAAAGAGAATAAATTTTTTTCATCAAAACATGAAACAAGACAATTTAAAAAAAAATACAAAATACTGCAGATGCTGGAAATCTGAAACAAAAACAGAACTTGCTGGGAGCACTCAGTAGGTCAGGTAGCATCTATGGAGAAAGGAAAGTGAGTCAGCGTTTCGTGTCCACGACCTGACGAAGGGTCGGGACCCAAAACGTTGACTCACTTTCCTTTCTCCATAGATGCTGCCTGACCTGCTGAGTGTTCCCAGCGACTTCTGTTTTTGAAACGATACGATTGTCTCCCATACAACTAATAGAAATCTGGCTACTTGTTTTTTTTGGTTTACTGTGAACCTTTAATTTTGACAGGGAAGAACATGGTTAACTAAAGCCACGAAAGAGTCTCATGCTCAGCTTTTACTTCAACCCACCAGAGAACTGTTCCTGCACTCCCCACCCAAGGCTGCCTCCAGGTATGGGCATCCATTCCATTGTTCACATTACAGGCCCGTCTCAAGACCCTCCTCTTCGACCGTGCCTTCGGCCACTCTCCTACCCCTACTCTCCCTGCCCTCCATCTTCCCTGATTCTAACCCCCAGCTCGGGTCCAAATCCCTGACTGTCCAGCGTCTTGGGAAGTGCTCCCGACATGAAAGGCGCTGTACAAATGTAATTTTGTATTGTACTGGATTACTTTAATAATGATGTATTTAAATTTTTTCCTGCAATACTTGTGCTGATTGTTCTGTGCATTCCTTTATAGTTACGTTCAATCTCCAACTTCATCTGTAAGAAGTTCCCCACTTGCTGCCTCAGCCAAGGAACAGGAGTTTCAGGTCCGCAGATTTCTTCAAGCCGTTTCCGCAGTGTTATTTCCTCACTTGTGTAATGATTAGTATGACAATTTTAAAGCGTGTGGGGCAAAGTAACCTCTGATTATTCTAACTATGTTTTCTATAATGAATACAAAGGCCGTTGTTTGTGTTAAATAATGATTCTTGGATTTGATACATCGCCTTTTCACATCAAAACATGTCCAAGCGCTTCTTACATCGGGTTACATTAAATTGTGCACACAGACACACCTACACTGGCCCAAGTGTCAGTATCAGACATAAGTACACTGGCCTTAGTGGGAAGTTACTGCCATTTTCAGCAACAAACATACAAGTCAGTACTCCTAATAGAAATTCTGTGAAGCGCTTTGAGACATTTTTGACCTGATAGGGCGCAAATACAAATAATAATAATAATAAATAATAATAAATGCAGAGATTATTATAACATTATCATTAACTGTGTTTTTGTTTCAATTTGTTTTTCTTCTATCCTAAAGAGGAAATCATTGTACCAAAGGTTTGCCAGACAGAAGGAAAAAGAGACGGAGAATCTGTTTGTGGAGTTGGACACTAAAAGGTAACAAACCCTGGCTTTGTCCTGACTGTTCCCGAAGGGGCTGAACATCAGTGGGAGTGGTGTTCTGCTCTGTATGCAACTGGCAACTAGGAGTGAGCAGCTGATGATGTTATGGCCAGCGAAAGACTGAATCAATACAAAGCTGGGAGCTTTCACAGCTTTTAATTCTTTCTCCCCACTCCCCCGCCACCCCCTCCCGAAATAATAAACCAACACATTGCAGAATTAGCAGCTGCTGATAAATTCAGTCGTGACTCCTAAGATTTGAACTCGTGAGATAAAGTATCTACACAGCAGCGAGCTCCTTTGGAGGCGGATTGCCTCTGAGGAAGTGTGAGAGGGAGGTGCGGAGTCCAGAGTAATATATGCATACACACACAGTGGAAGCCGGTTAAGACGGACACATCCGAGTCGGACGTTTTGTATGGTTTAAGAGGCATCCGAGGATAACTGAAATACCATTCCCGCCCAGCAGAAGAACCCCGTGACACAGTATATGTTGTTTCACTTGAAGCAGTGTTCACTAACCCAAAAGAATCCTGCAAGCTGTGAAAGCTCCCAGCTTTGTATTGATTCAGTCTTTGCGCTGGCCATAACATCATCAGCTGCTCACTCCTAGTTGCCAAAAGTTGGTTTGACTTCTCCCATTCCCTTCCTTGTTCTTCCCCGTTCCGCTGCCCCCCCCTCACTGATTGACAGCCCAACTCCAGCCGCTTGTGAGTAGCTGAGTTCCACTGTCAATCAATCATACACTCCTCCCATCTACATCTTGGAGCCCCTCGTGGTTGAATGGACACACAGAAGGCCCCAGTGAGCGTATTAGCGGTGACCAGTGCGGCATTTTGCCCGGAGTGACCGCATTGTTCAAATCAATTAGCTTTTTTAAAACAGGTAACAATACGAATGATTCGGGCCCGGTTGTTTTGTTCAATTTACCCAACATCCGGGGTTAACCGGTGTCCGGCCAAAGCGGATTTCACTGTGTATATTAGTCTGGTGCCCCAGAGACTTCCTACTCACTGAATTGTGATTGGAAAATTTCGAAGTTTCATGGACCGCATTCATTTATATCAGAGCCAAACGCCACTCAGTCAGAGCAGTGTCACAAACTCGCGCAGATCTATTCAAATCTGCCCTGACTTTGCCACTGTCTGTCACTTGTAGGAATGTGTGTTTGTAAAAGGGATGATCCTAAAATAATCAACGTAACAATTGCTGTTAAAGAATTTATGACATTCCTCTGTTACTAATGACATAGAGCTGTGAGGAGAGGTTAGCTACTCTCAGACGTTTCTCTCTATAACAGAGAAGACTGAGGGAGCCTTAGTTTAAGATTATGAAGCATTGAATAAATTAGAGTTGGGTAAATTATTCTGCCCTGCATAATCTAGAACAAGCGTGTCAATTTCACAACAAGGCCCAAATAGGAAATGCAGGTGTTATGTTTTATTTAGAAGAAAGGAGCTATGCATGTGAACCAAACTACACTATCACCACAGAAAATAAAAATACATTGCTTTTCAAAAGCAATGGATAAGTGTCATTTACTCCAGGTTATTTGAATTGGTGATTTAGCAATGGGTATATTGAATGAATCTTGTAGGATTGATGGAAAGTATGGGCTAGATGGTTCCTGCCGGCATGAAGTTGTTATAGAGACAATTCATCTCCTTGCCTTTTATCCACATAATCTGTAATTAAGGGATAGGGGGCAAGGGCGGGTAATAATAATAATAATAATAATAATCCTTGCATTTGATATAGCGCTTTTCACGTCAGGAGGACGTCCCAAAGCGCTTCACAGAACACACTGTAAAGTGAATTGACTGTATATTTGTGGGCGAACGCGGCAGCCAATTGCGCACAGCAATGTCCCACAAATAGTCGTAGATTGAAAATGACCAATTTAATTATTGTTTTGGGTTTTTTGGAGGGATTATTATTAGGCTCTGTGTGGAGTAAGGAAACTTGCCCGAGGTTTCGCCCTCTGCCTGGAATTGAACTCAGATCTCTCACTTGCAAAGCGAGTGCTCTAACCACTGAACTACAGGACTCCACTACTTGGACTCGGTACTCGGACTTGAGGTAGAGATCAGCCATGATCTTATAGAATGGCTGAACAGGCTCGAGGGGCTGAATGGCCTCCTCCTGTTCCTATGTTTCCATGTGAATTTGCATTATTATTAGGACACCAATTGATCAGACGTGATGGTAAATTCTCTTAATCACATGGCATGTGTTTTTAATAACTGCAATGAATCCTTTGTCAACCAACATGTGATTTTTCACGCCGGTGTGACAGTCATAAAAAGTGTCTTTTGTGATGAAAAATAAGATACAAAGTAAGATTGTCATACATCTTGTATAATCTGGCATATTAATATTTTTTTCCCTTTTCTTCAGTCATTTCTTTCCTTCACCTGCATCGGGCACACTGGAGAAATCTGTACCTTCGATGGTCGCTGTATCATCCAGGGAATTGGAGCTACAGGTTAGAATTCTACTTTAATAAAGTCTTACCTAAGGGTTAGTTTAGCAGTTCCTGCGATATGTAGTATATTGGTTGGATCCAGATGTGCATTAGGTTTGCAGATTGTAGCCTTTGACTGCTGGCTAGCAGGATAGCAGCTGGGTGGGGGAGGAGGTCAAGGCAGCAGATGGTGGGTTTCATCTGGGTGATGGAGGATGAGAGGAAGGAAGAAAGAGTGGAGGGTAAAGGAGTGCAGGGTGGGGCCTGTGGTAGAAGCCATGGGAGGATGAGTGAGTGGTGGAGAGGGGGACACACATGGGGCAAGAGGAGGAGGCGGCCAGGCGGATGCTATCTATCTTGGAGATAAAGAAATCCAAGACCTCTTCGCACTTGGCATTAGATGTTAAAGGTATATTGATGTGGAATAATTATATGGCACTTTTAATAAAGCGGTTTATTAAAAATGAAACAACAACTTGCATTTATATATCTCACTGTACCAGCACTTCTCTGTCTCTGTCTGACTTTTTCTCTTTTATAGTCTCTCACTTTGCCTTTTTCTCTTGTGTCTTTCTCTAAGAATCTTTAATTTTTTCTCTCTACAATATCTATACAAAAACGTACCTCTGCTATCGGGAGAAAAAATGTCCTATGTGTGGGCATATGTCCTATGTGTGGGCATTTACAGAGTCATGCACTCACGTGCGAGGTGGCTAGCATCACATAGCTGGGTTCAGAGCATCTCTAGCAATCTCGAACTTAACATCGCACCTGCACATATGTTTGTCTTGCTAATATCTCACAGCCTTACCTCCAACTTACGGTTAAGAGCCCAATGCAGGTAAAGCGTCACTTTCAAAACTTGGGACAGCATTGCCTACCTCAGGTTTCAGGACTCATCTTTTGTTAAGAGCTTGGTTTCCCTCCAATATTTAGTTCTTTTGTCTGAAATATCGCTTGAGTAAAATTTACTATTTGTAAAAGTTTTCTTTTTATGAAGTTTTCTTTTTAATTAATAAACGCTGAGCTTACAGTTACTGTGTACGTTTTAAGGTTGTCCTTGCACTATGCTGCACTCTTACATTAATTAGTGTTTTGTCCACAGGGGAAATTGTATGCCAAATTGTTGACAGCAAGGCAGAAAATTGCCAGCGAGAAGGATGTTCCTCCAGCCATGTTGGCCACAAACAAGATACTACTAGAGTTTGCCAAGATAAGGTATTAGAAATTGCGGGTAGTTGCCAATCAATTAATAGATTTTTTTGAAAGAAAAGTTGAACCAAAATCTTTCTTCGTAAAAAGTCAAAGACTATTTTCATTTTGTTTGCTGCGTTTTGCACAGCTCAGTTAGTTTCTCACTACTGAGTCAAAAGATTGTAGGTTAACCTCTGGACTTGAATTTGTAATCTGGGCTGACACTCCAGTACATTGTTGAAGGGAGCATTGGTTGCTGGAGATGCTGGTTCAATTCCAGGCAGAGGGCGAAACCTTGGGCAAGTTTCCTTACTCCACACGCCTAATAATAATCCCTCCAAAAAACCCAAAACAATAATAAATTGGTCATTTTCAATCTACGACTGTTTGTGGGACATTGCTGTGCGCAATTGGCTGCCGCGTTCGCCCACAAATATACAGTCAATTCACTTTACAGTATATTCTGTGAAGCGCTTTGGGACGTCCTCCCGACGTGAAAAGCGCTATATCAAATGCAAGGATTATTATTATTATATCCCCCAAATGGGAAGTTAATGTCTGTCTATCCTGACATGAGGTTAAAGAACCATTAACACTATTTGAAAAGAGAGGGAAATTTATTTTATTTTCGTTTTGTGGCCTCCAGGTTAATTGGTTATTCACCTCATGGTTGATTGTGGGACCTTCCCGATGGAAATATATTTGGTCAGCCGAGTGAGTGTCTGTCACAACCGGAAATCCATTGCCTTGCTTAAAAATATCCACAGCACACAGAGTTTCCCTGTATTCCCTGTCAGTTATGCATAACAATTTCATTTTGTCTGGAATGAAATGCTTTCTCATTCCCTGGAGGGACACAATCTCGTTATCTAATCCCAGAAAGTTGTACATGCAAGTTGGCAGGAGCCCACCATTGGGGACCCTAGAGTGTGGGTTGGAATACTGCAGGAATTTAATCAGATAATAACCTTTAGATTGCCATTGTGATCACTGTCTGGCAAGCTATCTCGCTGCTTGCCAGCTTGAACCACCGTCTAATTAGGGTTTTGGCTTACAAGGTTAATGGGAGCTAAGTGGGAAGATTCCCTGTAGCTCGGGAACCAGACTACTGAGACCGCTACAGAGGCGCCAATTAATTTTATTGTCAGATGTGTAATAACATACGTGTCTGCTCACCCCCGGCTGCCAAATTTGCATACACATATAGTCAATACACAAGTTAATAAATACTTCAGCAGCATTTGGAGTCCTGTAGCTTAGGGGTTAGAGCGCTCGCTTCGCAAGCGAGTGAGAGGACCTGAGTTTGATTCCCAGTAGGTCAAAACGTTAGGCAAGTTTCCTTACTCCATACGCCTCTGTTTACCTAGCAATAAGTAGGAATCTGGTTGTCAGTCGATTAGCAGATCGCTTTTCTGGGGATAATAATCCCTTCAAAAAAAAATTATAATTCAGTCACTCAACCCATGACTATTTGTGGGACACTGCTGTGCGCAATTGACTGCTGTGTTTCACCCACAAAATATGTAGTCAATTCACTTTGCAGTAAAGTGTAAAGTGCTTTGAGGTATCTCGAAGATGCGATAAAACCCTATATCAAATGCAAGGATTATTATTTGAATGCAATAAGACGACACTGAAATACCAGTGAGATGTTGTATTGTCATAAAGCTTTATTCCAGTGGATGGCGCTAAAGCATACAATATGTCTACTTTAGTAGGTATTCAGAATTCACTAACTTGTCTAGGAGTCTGCAAGATTCAAGTGCCAGATATCAGCTAAATGGGTCTGTCAAAGAGAGAACATTAGCAAGCCTGAGAATATTCATTGACAACTCTGACTCAGGGCCAAACTGACTTGTTGGGGCCAGGTCACTTCTCATAAACTTCAGACTTAAATGTAAAATAACTTAAACATTTGAAGAAATGGGACAGATCGGATCTTTATTGACCTTTTTATTATGTTTTCAACCCACGTTTGTTTCTTCATTCATCAAACTTTGTAAGTGTTGTTGCTGATTCTATATTCAAAAGCCTCTTGTTTTTGGGCTTCACAAAATGGTGCTCGGTTGTGACCCTGTCAATCCTCCCAATCCTGGACGGGAGTGAGTTCTGAGTTAAATTTGATTTGGTTCTGTAATAATAACAACAGTATTACTTGCATTTGATATAGCGCCTTATCACGTCTTCAAGACGTCTCAAAGCACTTCACAGAATATACAGTACAGTGAATTGACTATATATTTTGAGAGCAAAAGGCAGCAGCCAATTCCACACAACAGTGTCCCGTGACCAATTTATTATTTTTTTTAAGGAATTATTACACCCGGAAAAGTGATCTGCCAATTGACTAACCATTGGGTTCCTACTTACTGTTAGGTAAACGGGTGTGTGGAGTAAGGAAAGTTGCCCAATATTTTGCCCTGCCGGGAATTGAACCCAGTCTCTCGCTTGCCAGGCGAGTTCTCTAACTAACAACTGAGCTACAGGACTGTATGGTTCATGATACAGTAATGAGCTAAATATTGACAGCACATGGCAATCCCGATAGAGTGCAGTCAACCTCAGATGCCCTTAAAATGAAGAGCGCAAAATGTCTGTCTCCTGGGTTGTTGGTTAGCCAATGATGTGATTACCGCATAAAGTGACGTTATCGGTGTTTCTTGCACATAGCATGCAAGAGTGGTCTCAGCAGCCACTTGATGATCAGCTCTAAGCATGAGAAGCTGGACAGTCCATGCTGGAAGCTGAAAGTTTGTTGCATTTCCGTTAACTGCAGGGCGCAATAAATGGGGATCTGCTTTCTTGCTGTTTCCCTGTAGCTTTTATTTCAATGCTAAATGCCACATTAAACCGAGGCCCATCAGGTGGACTTTAAAGATCCTGTGGGACTATTCACAAAGAAAAAGCAGTTTCTCCCGGGGCCCTGGCTAACAATAACGCAGATTTAAAAATAAAAAGGGACTTTGTGGCTGTTTGTGGACATTGCTGTGTGCAAACATCGGCTGAGCTACTATAATACCAGAGTCAGGGCAGTGAGAGGCAGATACAATGGCACAGACTTGCCAACATCGGGGCACCTCGGGGAAGGAGCAGCCTAAGGTGAGTGTAACAGTCACAGTGAACCTCCAGTCACTAGGAGGAGGCCTTCCCCAAATCAGTGTGTCCAGGCAAAGGGAACTCCCAGCGGTTATAAAAGCGGGTTCCCATGGGCAGCAGCGCTGGATCATCCAAGAATTCAGATGAGAGTTTGCGTCAGTGAGGCTGACCTCACCTATCACCCGTGTGATGGTTGTGTTTGTTTGATCACATGTTCTTGTCCACATTGTAAGATATGATGCCTGACAAGCTGCCTTTGTGCTCAGCCTTCCAGGGTTTCAAGCATCTCAATTTAAGAGATAAGCCACTTTGTGCACAATGTTACCGTAATTGGGAGCCTCTGTGCAACACAAATGATTGGAGTGCAAGACAATGCTGGCTGCAGGCTTCTTCTGAAAGAATTCTATGCTTGTGGAGTTGGACTAACTAACAGCCCTATTGCTGTGCCTTTAACTACCGCTACTCCCATTATCTAGGTCTGCTGATAATGTCTCAAACATGGTGTGCATTAACATGTAAATTCTTAGCAGCCTTTTTTTATTTAAAAAAAATCTCTTTTTTCTTCTGTCCGCAGGCCAACCACTGCTGACAACCTGAAAAGAGTGGACGGTGTACCTGAAGCAAAATCTAGTGTGTTGGCTCCTCTATTGGTTATCATCAAGGGGTTTTGTGAGGCCAATGAGCTTGAGGTTCGTTGTCAAAATAATCCTTTTCTTTCTCTTCCTCTCCTGTGGAAAGGTCAGTGACATGAAATGCAGGCAGTCATGCCCCACACAAGAATCTCATTAGAGACACAATATTAAAGGGAGCCTTTGCTTAGGTGTGGCTCTGCGTGCTTAACTTAAACACGCTTTAATGATCAGCTATGAGATTAAAGTCCCGTTATAAAATTCATGTTCTCAGAGTGCTCCAAATATATTGCCACAGACTCCACCATCCCCTGAGAAAATTTGCAATAAATAGCGAAAAGCTCAAATTAGACTTCTGTAAACACTGAACAAAATAGAGGATCACCATGAGCCAAATTATTAATAATAATCCTTGATTGATATAGTGCCTTATCATGTCTTTGAGACGTCTCAAAGAGCCTCACAGAATATACTGTAAAGTGAATTGACTGTATATTTGCGGCCGAATCGCGGCAACCAATTGTGCACAGCAGTGTCCCACAAACAGTCATGGATTGAGTGACCAAATTATTATTATTTATTTATTTTGAGGGATTATTACCCCTGGAAAAGGGATCTGCCAATTGACTAACAACCAGGTTCCTACTTACAGGCGTGTGGAGTAAGGAAAGGTCCCCAACGTTTTGCCCTGCTTGGGAATCCAACCCAGGTCCTCTCGCTTGTGAGACGAGTGCTCTAACCACTGAGCTATAGGACTCCACAAATTGAGCCAAAAATCTATTTAACCGAGACAGGATCATCATCTCAAAAAGAGTACTTATTGGCTAACATAAATTGCTTTCTGTTGCTTGCTTTAATTGACATTCACACCGTTTTTTCAGATACTTGTATACAATTTAAGATTTCACCAATTTCTGCGTTTATTTGAAACTTGTTTGTAGCAAAAATCACAGACTACATTGTATTCAATTCACACTCGTCTGTCCTCAGGCGGATATGTTTTCTCTCTCGAACCAAACTGCACAGCAAAAGACAACATGCAGACAAAGCTCTGGCAATAACTTGCTACCCGTGCTAGTCCATCTTGTCAACCACTCCACACCAGTAAGAAAATACTATTTGTTTGTTTTCAGTCTTGTATTTTACTGCCTTATTATAGGAATATAGTAGCCTATTTTTGTTATGTTTTGTAATAATAAGCTGCTGTATCCAAGACATTCAGGTGTGGTGTCTAATTTGCAGTATGTCTTAAAACTATTTATAACAAATGTGTCATTGACAAATTTCTAAAACATTGAATGTAAAGAAGAGTGCATTTGTTGTTTGCACATTTCTTGAGAACCTTCTGATAAATTGCAGCAAATTTGACCTATATAAAATACATATATACCCGATTGACACATTGTGGATAATAAAGCATCTGTTCATCCTTGTAGAAGGCTTCAAGCATCTGCTTTTAACATTTTAGAGGGGGAAGTTTAGGTTCATGGAGTGAGGCTGTGTCACTCACTCGCTGTTTGTCAAACACACAGGCGTCTGGTTACCCTGTAGATGTGAAGCAAGCTGGTCTTGCTTGTCCGGTTCAGGAATCGAGGGTCAGCACTGTTCCCAATCCTCTGCTTAACTCAGGTGAGAAACATTTCTTTCCGCTGTTTATTGGTTCCTTACTTTACAACAAAAATTTGACCCAGATGTCTTATCTGTGATTTTTATAAGAAAAATTCAAAAGCTGAATGTGTGCGATCCAGTTTGATGTATGTAAATAATAGCCAACATAGTTCAGGAAGATCTCAGGCTGGCCAATAATAATCCTTACACTTGATATAATGTCTTATCACATCTTCGAGACGTCTCAAAGCGCTTCACACAATATACTGTGAGCTCATAGTCTGGGCTGGCACTTAAGTGTAGTGCTTAGCATATTCTTCAGATGTGGTTGTTTAAGATTCCATGACACTATCTGGAAAAGAAGGGCATTTCTCCCAGTGTCCAATGATCTGGACAACAAACCTCCAGATAAAAAACAGAAGTCGCTGGGAACACACAGCAGGCCAGGCAGCATCTATGGAGAGAAGAAAGTGAGTCAACATTTCAAATGACAGGACCTTTTGTCAAAACTCTTCCAGATATTTCACCCGCAAAATATAGTCTTCACAGTATATTCTGTGAAGCGCTTTGAGACGTTGCAAAAACGTGATATAAGGCGCTATATCAAATGGAAGGATTATTATTTATTATAGATAAATTAGTCATTCATTTCATGGTTGTTTGTGTGATAGTGTCACAGTCCAAGATTGTGTCACAGTCCAAGATACAAATTGTTAATAATGGCACAGAAATATTAATGTGTTCACATTATCCCAGTAGGGGAGATGGACAAGGTATTGTGTGAAAACTGGCTGTTTTCCATTCACACGAGAGAATGTTTCAAAGTGCTGGAACCAGCAGGAGGTTAAAAATAGAAGAAAAAAAGATAAAAGTACTGAATGTATGGAACATCAACATCTAATCAATCTTAAGGAACTATCCATCCTCTTAACTAGAAAAGAGGGAGAAAATAAGGAACAGTCCAAGATACAAATTGTTAATAATGGCACAGAAATATTAATGTATCCAGATTATCCCAGTGGGAGAGATGGACAAGGTATTGATGGTCAGAATGCTTACCATTGGCTCGTATTGTGTCTGTAGATATTAACAGCATGAACGTTGTTGACAAATGGAAAGCAAGCGAGGAAGGGGGAGAGCAGCAGAGCTGTAGCACAAAGCTACAGCTTCCCCAACAAATGCCTTCACTGTCCACAAGTGCACAGGAGCCACAGGAAAGTGAACCAGGCACAAAGGAGGAAGAACCTGACTGGATTGAAAAAACTGTGAGCAATTTATTGAAGGCCGTTGCTTTTGTCTTGTGATCTAAACTAACTGGGTGCTCTCTGGCACACATTTACGTGACTTGTTTTTAAGCGGAAAACAATATTAGGAGCAATATTAACAAACATGCATGCAGCTTAACCTTTTTATACAATTAATTGCAGATATGATCCTGTTAACACTGAGTTGCGATGTACAAACATTTGCTAAGTTGAGGTTAACTGGAAGGCACGTTTTGCATGATCCAGGACATTTATTGAAATGCAGAGTTTTATTCCCTTTATCATTCAAAAATCTCAGCCAGCACTTCAGCCAAACTGAGTAAGATCACTTGTCCTTGTGTTGATCACCTCCCTCCTCTATTATTCAAATGCCCTCCTCACCGGTCTCCTCAGCTCCAGCATCCATAAATTCCAGCTGATGCCAAACTCTGCCGCACTAAACTCCATACCCCCATCGCACCAGTTCTAGCCAGGCTTCACTGGCTCCCTATTGCTGAATGGATTCATTTCAAGATCCTCACACTCGTTTTCAAATCCCTTCATGCTCTGGCACCTCCCTCCCTCTCCGACCTGTTTACCCCCGCAACCCACAATCCATTATCCTGCTCGATTGGCTCTGGCTTCCTGCATGTACCTAGTGCCCTTGTTCCACCATCGCTGGCCGCGCTTTCAGCCACTACACCCCGAAACTCTGGAACACGCTGTAGAAATATAATTTGGTGTTGTATTTTATATCGTGTACCCTGAGAAGTGCTTGGAGATGTTCTCTCAATATGATAAGATGCTATATTACATGTAAGTATTATTATAAATGAAGACATGCCACCGAAAGAAAGAATGTGCCTTACTACCGATGGCTGTTGAACAACAACAATAAAATTAAATTTATAGAGCGCCTTCCACGTCGGGAGGACGTGAAGCTCAGTCCATAACAGTACCAAAAAGGGAATTGATAAATACTTGAGAAAAACTATTAAACGGTATGGGGACAGAGTAGAGAAATGGTGTTGGGGTAAAGCAGAGAAAGGCGACCAGAGGGAGCAGACTGTTCCAATGCAAGAGCTTTAAGCAGCACAGAGACCAAGGACCAAATAGGGAAAAGGGGTGAAAGATAGTGTGTTGGTTGACGGAGTCATAGACTATTGACTGCAGGTGGTAAAAGGCGCAAATCCATTTAGATTTGAAAACTTTATATTGAAACAGCTATTCTGCAGTGTTCCACCATTCTTTGAGAGGACACCATGGAACTAAAAAGCAAACTGTGTGTATTACTGACTGGACAATTTCCATTTATAGTCCTCCTAAGTGAGGCATCACTTCTATGAGATGCAGCTCTGCTTTGTATACACGTTTATCACATGTAGCTCTATTTCAGCTGCATGTTTAATATTCCTGTCCAAGGCTGGGTTTGTTTGTCATGCCCTCTGTTGTCTAACAGTATGCCAGTAGGTGGCAATAGAATTCCAGAAATTGCTTTTTGTCAATCGTTTGGGTAATTTTAAAGTTATATTGATTTTTAATTTGACGCATTTGTATTTTAATAAGTGCACCATATTTTGAAAAATACATAGTTTTGAGGTAGGACAAACATTTACTTGTGGTCCGTGTGTGTTCCAAACCATAAATTACCAAATTAAAAAATAAAAAATTATAATTGCATTTGACACAGGGACTGACATTGTGAGCATGTCTCAAAGCACTTCACAAGATTTACTGTATTTTGTAGTGATCACGGCAGCCAATTTGCGCATAGCAATGTCTCAAACAGCCATGAAGTGAATGACTAGTGCTTTCATCGGGTAAACTTTAATTATTTATTCAATTTGTTTCTGTGATTATCAACTTTATTACAACAAAAACTTGCATTTATAGAGTGCCCTTCATGTGGGGTGGCGTCTCGGAGCGCTTCAGTAAAAGTTAGTGCAGGAGAATGCAGCATGTTGGACGCCATCACTCACAGTGCAACTATAGGTTGTTTATCAACTGCATCAAACACCTACTTCACAAGATTTACTGTAAAACGTAGTGACAGTACATTACATTTTACAATAAATTCTGTGAAGGAGGATTCCTGACTGTCTTAATAAAATAATATAATAATCCTTTTCATTTGATATTGTGCTTTATCACGTCTTCGAGACGTTTCAAAGTGCTTCACAGATTATACTGTAAAGTGAATTGTCTATATTTTGTGGGCAAAATGCGGCAGCCAATTGCATACAGCAGTGTCCTACAAGTAATCGTGGATTGATTGACCTAATTATTATTTTTTTTAAGGAATTATTACCCCCGGAAAAGCGATCCTCCAAGTGACTAGCAACCGGGTTACTACTTACTGCCAGGTGTACAGAGGCGTGTGGAGTAAGGAAACTTGCCCAACGTTTCGCCCTGCCCAGGAATTGAACCCAGGTCTCTTGCTTGTGAGGCGAGTGCTCTAACCACTGAGCTATAGGACTCCACCATGTTCATAAACTGCTCCCTCAGTGTGTCACAGCGCCTTGGGACGTCCTTCCGACGTGAAAGGCGCTATACAAATGTAATCTTGTTGTTGTTGTCAGTGTGATCCTTGCCCCCTCTTCTCCAGGCAGCTTTATGGCCTCTCTGAGTGACATTCCCAAGTTGGTGCTCAAGTATAAGCAGTTTTACGCTAAAGAGTTGCATCACTAAGAATTGGTTGAGAATGCCCAAACAATAGATGTAGGACAGCTGGTGCAGAGTTCATTCATTCCATTGCATGTCAAGACTGGATTTGAACCCTAGCACCAGGTATAAGCAATGTGCTTGTGACCCAGTTCCCTAACAAGTTGTGTTTTTGGTGATTAAAAATGAGGTTTGTAAGGCATTGTAAATAAGTTTCTTTCAGATGTCATACTTTGAATCGCAATAATATTCCGTTAGAACTATCTACATTATTTTAAAATAAATTTGTTCTTTTTAATGTAGCTTTATATCTCCAGGATCATATTCTGGGTAATGATTAGAAGTCACTACAGTAAATTCCAATAGGAAACTTTGCAAAGGTTTAAATACATAGAGTTTCAACACTTCGTACAGTCCAACACAGACGTCTGTTATTTCATCCGTTTTTTGGCATCAGTTGTGTTTGTTCTTTTGCCACAAATGTAAGAGAAACTATTTCCGTTTGCTGCTTGTGGGCACAAGAATTGGTTCTAGCTTTGCTAATTTATAGTATTTATCGTAAAATGTGTAAATGTATCCTATATCCTGGTTTTAAAATGGGCAGCTCTCTAGACAGGAAAGGTAGATTTATACCCCATACAAGGAAATGAGGGGAATACACAGCACAAGGCCAATGAGTCACTCAGACTTTGCTCGTGTACTTACTCTATGCTTCCTTACCACCATCCTTCTGAGACGAGGCAAAGAAGGTTAGGAATAAATTGATTAGTTATTGAAGCAATGTGTAGACATTACAGGCATCCACAGCATACCCAAGTCCTGCTTGCTAAACTCACTCCAGAACCAGTTGAAAACTGGATAAAGAACTACCACATATTACTAAAATGGAGAAGCTGGCTAGATGAGCTAAATGGGCTGCTCTCTCTCCTCCCCCCTCCCTTTGACTCGCCCCCTTCTCTCGCCTCCTTCCCAGTCTGCATTCCTCTTTGACTTTATTTTCCCCCTCAGCTCCCACCCCCAGATCAGGTATAAACCGTAGACTTTTCAATTCCTGGTACATTCCACATTCCCCCACCCCACCCCACCGACGTGAAAGGCATTATATAAGGTAAATTTGTATTGTAAATTTTTGATGTTCCTAGATGTTCTGAGAACTTCAGATTATTGCCCACAACAAAAGCTTTTGTAGAATAAGGAATACACTTCATGTGACAACAAATTGGTTTATTTCCACTGTGAACTATAAAACAATTTTGTTTGAGAAAACAATGATATATTTACTTTCTGGGTTTATAGTGTTAGACTGACACTCTTGAACACAGCTGGGGGTGTGATGTTCTGCATTTTGAGAAATGCTAAACCTCTGCCTGTTCAGGTGAATATTCATGATCCCATGGCACTATTCAAAAAGTGAAAGGAGTTTCTTTATGTGTCCTGGCCAACAATTCCCCAGGTAAAATAGCATTAACTCATGACTGTTCATGGGGCCTTGCTGATGCAAATGAGTGCCATATTTCCCTACAAAAGGTCACTGCACTCGAACTGTGATTACTCATGAAGCACTTTCATAGAATTCGGCCCATTGCGTCTGTGCCAGCTTTTCAACATGATAAGGCACTGGGAAGAATTTCTTTCCAATGAATGTGTAATTCCCCGATTATTCTTCCTCCTCCACATCCGGTCCCTCACCAGCACTGCCTTCTTTCACCTCCGATGCATTGCCTGTCTCCGCAATACCTCTCCCCAAAAGCCGCTGAAACCCTGGTCCATGCCTTCGTCACCTCTCGGCTAGACTATTCAAGCGTCCTCCTCGCTGGCCTCCCATCCACTACCATCCATAAAATCCAACTCATTCAGATCTCTGCCGCCCGCATTCTCACCTGTACTAAACTCTGCTCCCCGATCACCCCAGTCCTTGCCAGCCTGCACTGGCTCCCTATCCCAGAGAGGATCGATTTCAAAATCCTCACCCTTGTATTCAAATCCCTGCACTCCTCTGCACCCCCTACCTCTCTGACCTCCTCTCTTCTCAGCCCAGTACCCATTGCCTTCGTTACTCCGGGTCTGGCCTCCTCCTTGTCCCCCGAGTCCTCCGCTCCACCCTCGGAGGCCGTGCCTTTAGCCACTACGCCCTGAGGCTCTGGAACTGCCTTCCTCACTCCCTTCATCTCGCTCCCTTCATCTTCATCTTCATCCCTTCCCATTTTCCGCTCTGTTGAAGTCCTTTCTTTTCAACCGCGCCTTTGATCAGCTTCCCACCCCTCCCCTGGCTCGGTTCCGGGATCCTAAACTGTGAGAAGCCGTCCGGCATAGAGGGCGCTATATAAATTCAAGTTGTTGTTGTTAATGTTTTGCATAGACAGCTGGTTCATGATTCTAGTACATTTGTGGCTTATAATTTGTATCTGCCTTCAGGGCAGTGCACCTACTGCTGAAAGCAGCCATAAAGGTCACCCCCACAGATCCGCTCTCGATCTAGCATCCTGGAACCAATTAGCTGATGCTTCTACACAAGATCTATTTGATGATTCGCAGACAGAGGTGAGACATAATGCAAACACGTCTAATGTGATGTCAGTGTGCATGATATGTTTGTCGGAGAGAAATTGTCGGAGTGATTCAGGCTGTTGCACAAATTGTCTGTGTATTTTTTTNGTCCATGTTTCTATAATCACGGGAGCCAATTAGGGTTAGGCTAGGCCACATTTCGTAAATACATAAAAAAAGTTAGGAATTTTTCTAGTAATGAGTCGACTGCACTGTTGAGTAAGGCCTCAAGCAGTGCTTTCAAGCCTATTTGATGTGATGAATATTACACAAATGGCGAATTTCATCATACAGTAACATTTGCATTTATATAGAGCCTTTCACTGACCGGGCACCAAGCTAGGTGGAGGGGGGGGTGTTTGTGAAATGACTGAAAACATCAATTGGACCTGTAACTGGTCAGGCTCTCGCTGAACACCACACTGGGCTTTAAAGGTGAAGAGGGAGGAGGCAAATTGAAGGGACTTTGGGTTGGCGTTCCATCGACAACAATAACAACCTGCCTTTGTAGGTTTCTTCAGGCAGGATAGTGTCTCGAAACACTGCATCTATTGATAGAAAATGTGTTAGAAGTCTACAAGCTAATAATAGAACAAATATAGTGGGCTACTTGGTCACGAGTCTTTCAATACAGTAACTTTCATACAACAAAAATCATTTTGCTGTTCCCTAATTCACAAGCTGAGCCCCCTGGCTTCGTCACACTGTTTAAACAGCCAGATGACTGCTGCCGTGATTCCAGTGGTGTCCAGAGTGAAGTTACACATCCAGTGGACAGTTGGCATTCTAGCTGAACGCCATAGAAATGAGGAAAACTATCGGATTGTGATAGCTTGTCAATATAATAAAAATAAAGGTTCTTTAAGGTATTACAATTCTACCAGAATCGGGCAACAGTTGATGATTGGCCATCTAGTATCCATCCAATTTCACAATAATATTCCTTCAATGTATCTTCCTCTAAATCTGATAACCCAGAAGCTGTTGAGTTGACAAAAGTTCCCTTTTGAAACCCTTTTCAGTTTTGTGTTCACACGTGTATCATCTTTTATTTTTTAAAAAAAGGCCTCCTGCATTCTCTATTCTCTTTTGTTGTCCTTATTTATCACACCGATGGTTCAATTGATGGATGGAGCCAGTGTCTCTAGTAATATGATACATATGCATTTACAATATATTACCAAATATACCAGGAGAAAGCAAATGGTTTAATAGAAAAGGTTTAACTCCATTTTTACACCATTAATCCAACATCAAACTCCAAATTTGGGCAAGAGATTCTGAATACCTTAAGGGAAATGTCTTTTCTCTACCCCTCTCATGGACTAATCTGCCTTCCTGTAGGGACCTGCCTTTTTTGAGCCAAGTAAGTAGCTGTTCTGAGGATGTGGTTGGCAGGTGAGGAGACGGTTTATTCACTAACATGAATGTTTCAGTTGGCCTGGATGTTGATCTGTGGCACAAAGCCAGAAAAGAATGGTGCTACTGGCTAAATATAATAAAAAATAATAATCTTTGCATTTGATATAGCGCCTTATCACGTCTTTGAGATATCTCAATAGAATATACTGTAAAGTGTAGTGACTGTGTATTTTGTGGGCAAAAGTATATGGCAGTACCATCTGATATTACACATCCTGGCCTGGACACTTTCAGATCATCCATGCCATCGTGTCAGTTGACTTTACTGTCAGTGATTCAAACTCCAGGCACATCTCAGAAAATGTCGTTGGGGAATTTAGATGTTTATCTAAAACACAAATTATAGGGTGGGGGGTGAGGGGAGGTGAAGGGAAGGCTCAGTGGAAGGAAAAAATTGTCACTCTATTGAGATTTAAACGATTTCTACTCCTACCAGGAAATCCTTAAAATAATTTGTTAATAGTTGAAGAATTTAGAAACAATATTTGTTGGGAAATAGTTTATACTGAAGGTACCTCCTCCAGGTTTTCCTTCACTTTTTGGTTTGTTTTGAAAGCCGTGAGTCACTACTTTGTACACATGAACTGAATCTATTCAGTTACTGCACTTGAGTGGCTAAGAAAAGTGATGTCGATTTAGATACTGACAAACGGAAAGAAATGAAAAAGCATAAAAATGCACATTCATTATAATAATAATCCTTGCATTTGATATAGTGCCTTTTACATTGGGATGGCATCTCTAAGTGCTTCACAAAATATACTGTAAACTGAAGTGACTGTGTGTTTTGTGGTAAGTGACTGGAAGTGGCAGCTCTGGGCTCTGGTATTTTCATCAGATGATCCAAACTGCAATAGTTATTGTTCCACAATAAATGTTGAGTCACTGAAGATCTTACATACACTTTGACATATAGAAGCAACAACAAGGTACACATACATAGAGCCTGAAGGACAATGTTAGGGAACTATCCACAGTCAGTCTTTGTACTAAACTCATGGCAGAGTTGAAGTTCAAGGCCCTGTGACAGCTACAACTGAGCTAAGAACATTAATCTGCCAGCAGTCACTAGCCAAGGCCATCAACTGTAGTAGAGTGAGTGTATGCAAAGGCTCAGTCACAATGACAAAAGGGACGTCTATCAGGATAGCGGCCTATTGAGAGGACTGCTTACATTTTATCCAAACGCTTGGGAATCTATCTCTCGTATATCTGAAGTAATACTGGATCTTTAACTTTCTCGGTAGTGCAGTCTGCATTCTCACAACCCTTTGCAGAAAGCACTGCAATGTATATATCTATATCAAATACAAGGATTATTATTATCTAGATTCACTATTTGTTTCTAACCTCCAATTTAAATGTGGTATTCCCTTGATTTCATAGAAATAGGAGTAGGCAATTCAGCCCCTTGAGCCTGTTCCTCCATTCTATAAGATCATGGCTGATCTGTGCCTCAAGTCGAATTATCCACCCTTGCCCCCTATCCCTTTATACCCTGACCTAACAAATACCTACCCACCGCAGTCTTGAAGGTGTGAAGGGGTCCAGCATCCACAGACTTGAGGGAGTGAGTTTCAGATTTCCTTGACCCTTTGGATGAAAAACTGCCTCCTGATTTCACTCCTAAATGGCCTAATTTTAAGATGATGTCATACTTGTTCTGCATTTCCCCAACAGAGGAAATAGTTTCTCTGTATCTACCCTATCGAATCTCTTTATTATTTTATTATTTCATTAGTAGAGGAAGAGTCATTCCATATCTACCTTGTCAATTCTCTTTGTTTTGCTAAAAATAACATTTGAATCATCCTATATCCTCCTCAGCTCTTGGGAACATGTCAAGATCACTCGACTTCGTAAAACAGCTACAATTTTATTTGAAACAATGTCCTTGTTAGTGGGAATATGCCTTTACAGAGAACTAACACTCATCAGGCAATGGAGCTAAGGAAAAACTGCTTCACATTTTATTCTGTTTTTGCTACAAAAGCGTTCTTAATTTCTATTATGATTCCAATAGCAATACCATGTATGTCCTAGCTGTATTCCTTAGGTCATGCATGGGAGTCTTGTGGTTTCACTTAGAGTTGTGCCCTTGGTGAATGATTTAGTGACAGTGTGTTCAAAACAGGAAATAATTGCCAGACCACACTGTCACTGAATCATTCACTAAGTGCATTCTTTTTACTTTGAAGTATTTTACTGTCTTTGTCTATGTACGCAGGCTGATTGGGAACTTACATTTCGCATTATTCTTAAGTGGGTTGAGGGAGTTTACTCGTGCATTGACTGTGTGTTTTGTGGGCGAACGTTACACTAAAGAAAGATCTCTAAAGTTTTACAATTACAGTAGAACCTCAACCCCTTGTGAGCACCTCACAAACCTTTGTGGAGTCCTGTACCTCAGTGGTTAGAGCACTCGCTTTGCAAGCGAGAGACCTGAGTTCAATTCTAGGCAGAGGGCGAAACCTTGGGCAAGTTTCCTTACTCCACACTCTTAATAATAATTCCTCCAAAATAAAACAATAATAAATTGGTCATTTTCAATCTACGACTGTTTGTGGGACATTGCTGTGCGCAATTGGCTGCTGCGTTCGCCCACAAATATACAGTGAATTCACTTTACAGTGTATTCTGTGAAGCGCTTTGGGATGTCCTCCCGACGTGAAAAGCACTATATCAAATGCAAGGATTATTAATATTATTATTATAATGAGATCACCTCACTATGCAGGTCACTTTCACTGGCTCCAAGGTGACATGCCTGGCAATGGAACGTCAGAATTCAGCCAGCCCTCTATGACTGTCTCTAGTCTGGTTCCTGAGCCAGACGGGTCCGCAGTATTCCGGGGCACTGTTGATGGCAGCACAGCCCAGTCTGGCTCATCGGCAGGACCTGGAAAGGAAGACCAGTCACTGGGGACAGGGAGTCATCCCACTCAGCTCCTGTTAACCCTGCAAGCCAAAGCCCTAATGGATAGGGTGGTCCAAGTTGGACAAGCAGCGGGAAAGCTTGTCAGACAGCAATATCAAAGGCAAGCTATGAGGTTTTAGCTGGTTAGACTCCATCAGTTACCCCATCGCACACACTGGGGTCCCCAAGCCTTGGCTCTTGACAACCTGTGCCTAATACTTTCCAGAATTAGGTAAGCAGGATGTGTCTTTCCAGGGGGAAAATGTGCATTCCATTCCAACAACCTCTCTGAGATTTCCATGTGTGGGTGGGATGCCTAGAAATCTCAGCTTCCGCATGTGTCACACACTCGGCTGACCAAAAAAATCATAGTGACCAAATCCCAAATTCACTGCATATTGAGGGTTAGATACCCCCAATCTATTGACTGTTTCCAATAGCCACAGTTTCCAATGGCAACAGCAACAGTATTTCAGGTGTTGCTTCTGTTTTTTTCTTTCTTTGAGAAAAGCACAAAGCTGTTCTCTTGCCCTAACATGAATGTTGCTTCATGCTCAAAATGAAAAGATTGAAATTTCCGGAATAATTGTGAAAATGGTTTCACCTGACCGTACACATTTAAGGAACATGTATCGCCTTCTAATTCATGTATTTATAATGAGAAGCACATTCTTCATTTATTCTGGCTGGATTCCTATAAAGAAAACGAGAATTAAATGGAGCATAATGAATAATTCACAGGTTCAACAGAGATGTATCTGCTTTTTGATTTCTTGTTGCAATATTATAATTGTTGAAGTGCTTTGCAATATTGATTCTACTTGGTTTTGTCAACAAAAATATCTCAAGGGGAGTATTGATGACATCTGGATTAAGTTGCATGAAGAGAGTTGATCAAGCTATCTTCAGAAAGTAATGTTGCCAATCCAGTAGTTTAACAGGATGGTGCAAGCATGATCCAAGCTCAGACAATATTTGAACTTAGAATTCCCTTATCATAGAATCATAGAATTGTACAGCACAGAAGGAAGCCATTCGGGCCATCATGTCTGTGCCGGCTCTTTGAAAAGAACTATCCAAATCAATCCTACTCCCCCGCTCTCTCCCCAAAGCCCTGCAAATTTGGCCTCCTCAAATAATTATCTAGATCTCACTTATGAGTGAGAATGGAGACACAGCAAATGAGAAATGGCAAACTCAGTAGCACAAAAGATTTTATTTGAGGATTTGTTTTAAATTGAAACATTTTTGGGGGAGGGGGTAGGGGGCTTGGAGAGAGGATTAACGTACAGAAATGTAGATTTAAAATAAGCCAATTGTGACATGTTCACATTTATTAGTATGATTTATTAGTTTTTATTTGTGAAGTGAACTAGTGATGTACATCCATAATTGTTTTCTTTAGAAAAAGTCACTATATCGTTTCTGTAAATGTCCTATTGTCCATTTCCACCGTATGAATTACAGCACAATAAATCAATACACCACCCATCAACAATCTGAACTGCAATAGATTTAACTGAAAAAGAGTTCAAATGAATCCTTTTAACTTGTTTCGAGTCATTTTTAAAATCTAAGATGTAGCCTAGCTTGAGATTACACGTGTACAAAGCACAGGAAAGGAGCAGTGGTGCACAGTATTGCTCTTCAAATCAAGCTAGTCTTGATGTCCTTCCAGGAGGTTCACAGGTGGGAGGTAAACATCGCTGAGCTGTGCCTCGGGTGATCAGTGTTTGCAACACGTAAATATTCTGGTAGGGATTGAGCCTTGTGAGATTGCACAATATATATGAATTTGGATGTAATTGGGTTCTAAATTTGCAATGGCCCAAATCGGAATGCCAGTCCTCTTCCAATATTTCAACCTAACACTGTGCTTTATTGGGTGGTACATTGTTAGAGGTTCTGTCCTTCGGCTGAGATGTTAAAACCGAAGTCCCATCTGCCCGTTCAGCTGGATGTTAAAGATTTTACGGCACTATTGGAAAAGAGAAGGGGGTTTCTCCCAGTGTCCTGGCCAACCATCCCTCAGATAAAATTGGTCATTCATTCCACGGTTGTTTGTGAGACATTGCTGTGTGCAAGTTGGCTGCCGCGTTCACCACAAAACATATATACACACAATTACAGCACTTCACAGGATATCATGTGAAGCACTTTGAGACATCTTAACAATATGAAAAGATGCTTTATCAAATGCAAATATTATTATTTAATGTCCATAATCACAGCTATAAAGAGTGTGTGGCAGCCTGGCTCCCTGGATTATGTGTTCAAGCCCCATGTGGAGATTTTGAGCTCACTGTTCAAGATGACACTCCAGTGCAGTGATGGGGAGAGCTGCATTGTTGGAGGTGCTGTCCTTTGGATAAAATGTTAATCTCTTGTCCCATTTGCCTGTTCAAGTAGACGTTGAAGATCCTATAGCACTATTTGAAAATATTCCTGGCTTCCCAGTTCTCCAATAAAATTGGCCATTGACTTTATGAGACAATGCTGTGTGCAAATTGGCTGTTGATTTTGCCTACAACATATACAGTCTCTAGTCTGTATTGTATCAGCAGATTGAACCTGCACACAGCAGCATTTGTGAATATAGGCATCTGGCCCTCATTGGCTGGAACAATAAATACCGATGGTACATGTGCAATCGAAAGAAACTACTCTCATTGTGATTTAACCTTGACTCTTATCAAAAAGTGCTGATTACATGTTTCTATTTTCCTTCAGACCTGCAGTCAATCAGGAAAGAGGAAGCTCCCAAACTGGTTTGCCTCTTGCAACAAACAACAGAGCTCCAGCTTTACCAGCAAGAAAGTGAAAAAGCAGAAAGGACTTTTCAATTAAACCACAAGTTATTTACGCAGACATTGTCTACCACTGCAGAAAATAGTTGATTTATACAGCACCATGCGAATGGAACGGTTTGGGCCACCGCTCGGGTTATATACTGTGAGCCCTAATTCTCCTGGAGGAACATCACATCCAGGTAGATGAAAAGTCGTAGAAGATGTCATAAATACTGTGCAATATACGGAGCTTGGAGCTAATGTCAGTTTAATTCTGTGAATTATGCTCATATTCTTCTGGACGGCTATTTTATCAATGATTTATTTCAAAGACTTTTTGATACAAATGTGGAAATATTCACAGATTCTTTTCTCTTGTTTCCATATTCTGCAGCAAATTGTTGTCCTTTACCTTGTGCAATAATGATAAGGAATATGATTTGTTTTCTTTGCACTTCTGAACATTTTGATTGTTGCTCCATGGATTATTTTACTTATTTGCTTTGAAAATGTTAAAATGATTTAATACAATGATATTAATAAAATATCACTGAATAAAATGGATCAGTCATGTCTGTTTGTGGGACGTTGCTGTGCACAAAATGACTGCCATGTTCACTTACAAATACACAGTCACTGCACTTCACAGTAACATCCTGTGAAGCGCTTTGAGACATTTCAACGACTTGGTAATTCATGATATAAAATGCCAAGATTATTACATTATTACACAAACATTTGTTTTAGATTGTGAATGGCTTGGTTGGCTAATCATTTCCACTGATGATTATTGCACGCTATGTGCAGTGGATGTGCTGAAAGTCTGATCACTTAAAGCGTTTCAACATCACAATTCATGTACAATCAGATATCGAAATGAAGAACTTATCTGAATAAAACAGTTTCCCAAATTGCTTGGGAATGTATTAAATGCACTTAGTTTTTGTCCCACCTGATGGCAGCAACAGGTAAAACGATGACAACAACTTGGTTTACAAAGAGCCCTTCACACGGAGCAGAGTATCAACAACAACACATTATACTTGTATAATGCCCTTCATGTCAGAAAGACGTCCCAGGCCACTGGACAGTCGAGGGTTTTTTGGACCCGAGCTGGGAGTTGGGGTTAGGAAGGGTGGAGGGCAGTGGGGGTGAAGAAGAAGGTCCTCAGATGGAACTTGAAGGAAGCAAAAGAGAGGGTCAGGCGGAGTGGTGGTGGTGTGGGGGACCTGAAGGTGTCCACTAAGCGAAGGGAGCGGACAGGGGGGAGCAAGACCATGGAGACCTGCTGGGGAATCCCAAACAGGAGAATATTCCCTATGTTAACCTTGCCACATAAGGGGAGATGTTGAGCAGTGACCTGGACACAGAAAGGGCAAATATGGGACAAGCCATCTTCAAGTTATAAATAGAGGGCTTTGACGGTGAGAACACGGGTTTTGTACTCAATTTTCTGAGAGATGAGAGCCAGTAAAGCCGGGCAAAAACGGGGATAGTTGGTTCCTGGAGCTGAGAGAGGTAATATAAATAACAAATAATAATCCTTGTATTTAATATAGCGCCTTTTCACGTCGTTGAGACGTCTCAAAGCGCTTCACAGAATATATTGTAAAGTGAATTGACTATTTTGTGGGCAAAATATATTTTGAAACTATTTTGAGGTGTGGGAGAGGACACAAACTGGAGAGTTCTGAATAATCTGCAGCTTGTGGAGGGAAGAATTGGGAAGTCCAGTGAGCATAGTCAAACCGAGACTTGATGAAATCGTGGATCAAGGTCTCGGCGGCCTGTGGTGCGAGGCAGTGGCACTTACCATCGGAGCACTTGCAGACCTGTGATGTCAACACTACCAGGCCATCCTGCTACAGTGTCTGCAGGAACCGCATTTACACTATGGATTCTATATTCTGTAGAAGCAGCCTTGTCTCTCCTGAATAATGATTGAAAAACGTGTGGCACAAAATTTCACATCTACTGGAAAGCATGGATTTCAAATAGATTTTTTTTGAAAACCAATTTAGAAGCTACTTTCTGTTGGCCACAAAGCAGAGTAAAAATGGCTCTTGATATGGAGGTTTTTTTTCTTCATCGCACAGTGGTATTTGAATTTCCGAAACAATTTTTATTGGGAGCATTGCATTCTATGGTAAGATCCGGATTTCTGCTGGGGAATCCCAAACAGGAGAGTATTTCCTATGTTAACCTTGCCACACAAGGGGAGATGTTGAGCAGTGACCTGGAAAGAGAAAGGGCAAATGTGGGACAAGACACCTTCAAGCTATAAATATCATTTTTGCCCACAAAATACATAATCACACTGCAAATCATAGGTGGGCACTTCTCAGATATGGTGCCCCAAAATGTCATTAAAAGTGCTATAGAGTCCTGTAACTTAATGGTTAAAGTACTCGCCTCGCAAAAAAAAGCACCTGGGTTTTTAATTCCTGGGCAGGGCGAAACCTTAGGCAAAGCTTCCTTACTCCACACGCCTCTGTTTTACGTAGCAGTAAGTAGGAACCTGGTTGTTAGTCAATTGGTGGATCGCTTTCCCTCCAAAAGATAAATAAAATAATATTGAAAAATAATATTAATTTGGTCGCTCAATCCACGACTGTTTGTGGGACAGTGCTGTCCGCAATTGGCTGCCGCCTTTCGCCCACAAAATATGCAGTTACTATACTTTACAGTATATTCTGTGAAGTGCTTTGAGATGTCTCGAAAACATGATAAGGCGCTGAATAAATGAGTTATTATTATAAAGACCAAAGTGTTTTGAACTGTAATTGAACTAATCTTGTGAACTGTATAATTTCCAAATGGATAACCTTTATCAAAAGCACAGATTTTCTTGTGAAGAAAAGTATTTTGGGCCAGTCCTTTGGGGTGGGGCCAGGTTGTTAGTTCACAGATCGCAGAATTCCAGTGGGGGACGAACATTAAGTGAGAAGGTACACGTGAAAAAATTTATTAAAAAGGGGTTGCGATGTGCATGTGGGAGGGAGTAATTTGACAGATTTTACAGTTGTGTTTTCCAGTATTTTTCCTTCATTTGCGTGATGCCACTTTTTCTAAGCAGTTTCATTTTAATAACATTAGTTAAAGATATTGTGATGTTATGTTCAAACGAAACACTCCCTATAGGCGTTGTTACCTCTCTGTGAGATTTTAATTTTGTTTTGAATTAGCACAACAGGTATGCTGTTAGCGGGCATGTTTTCTGATGTGCAGCTGCCTCTGCATTGAGTGGCTGCTGTAATTATGGGAGAGGTATCAGAAAATCAACGCTCCATGTGCTGGTTTAAACAGTCTAAAATAAATGTAATGCTCTTTATTGGGAAGTCATCCAGTGTTTAAAACATGCAACAACAACAACAAGATTACATTTGTATAGCAATTTTCACGTCGGGAGGACGTCCCAAGGCGCTGGACAGTGTACAGCATTTCAGACCCGAGCTGGGGATGGGGGGAGAGGGGAGGGGAAGGGGGATGACCAATGGCATGGTCGAAGAGGAGGGTTTTGAGGCAGGACTTGAGGACAGGAGGTTAAGGAGGGGGCGAGGCGGAGTGATTGGGGGATGGAATTCCAAGAGTGGCTGAAGGCTCTCCCGCCAATGGTGGGGCGGGTGGGTCGGGGGACGTGGAGCAGGCCGGAGCCGGCTGAGCGGAGGGAACGGGCGGGTTGGTAGGGGGTTAGGAGGTCACAGAGGTAGGGTGGGGCGAGGCCATGGAGGGCTTAATAGGTGAGCACTAGGATCTTGAACTGGATCCTCTGAAGGATGGGAAGCCATTGGAGTTGGGCAAGAATGGGGGAGATGGGGTCACAGAGTTTGGTGTGGGAGAGGACACGGGCTGCAGAGTTCTGGATTATCTGCAGTCTGTGGAGGGAGGGGTTGGGAAGGCCGACAAGCAGGGAGTTTGCATAGTCGAGCCTGGAGTTGATGAAGGCATGAACAAGAGTTTCAGCGCCTGAGGGGTGAGGTAGTGGTGGAGTTGAGCGATGTTACGGAGGTGAGGGAAGGCAGAGCGGGTCATGGCTTGGATGTGGGAGAAAAGACAGTTGAGGGTTGAACAAGATACCTTGGTTCCTGACTGGTTTGGTGAGTTGAAGTGTGCAACCATGGAGGTTGATGCTCCCAGAGCCTGAGGTGCTGAGGCGCTGGCGCGAGCCAATCAGGAGGGCCTCAGTCTTCTTCACATTCAACTGTAGAAAATTTGCCCTCATCCAGGACTTGATGTCTGACAGATAGTCTGTCAGGACAGCAGTGGTCCTGGAGTTGAGGGTGGAGGCAGAAAGATAGAGTTGGGTGTCATCCGCATACATGTGGAAGTTGACCCCATGTTTGCGGATGATGTCACCAAGGGGGAACACGTAGATACTAAAGAGGAGAGGGCCAAGGACAGAGCTCTGGGGGACGCCAGACGTGACAATGCGGGGGCTGGAGGAGAAACCGTTAGAGGCAACGAAGTGGAGATGGTGAGAGAGATAGGAATCGAACCAGGCAAGGGCAGGTCCGTGAAGATTGAGTAAAGAGGAGAGGCGGTGTATGAGAATGGAGTGGTCAACAGTGTTGAAGGCGGCAGAGAGGTCGAGGAGGACAAGGAGGCAGAGGGAGCCCTGATCACAGATGTTCAGAGTGTCATTAGTAACTTTGACCAGGGCTGTTTCCGTAGAAACCATTCTTAGGAATATCCAAACCAAGCTGAGATTTCCGTGCATCCCACCGACACATGGAAACCCAGAGACAGATTGTTGAAATGAAATCCGCACTCTCTCCCTGGAGGCACACATCCTGTTTACCTAATTCCGGAAAGTATTAGGTGCAGGTTGGCAGGGGTGAAAGCTTGGGGAACCCAGAGTGTGCGTTGGGGTCACTGCTGGATTCTAACCATCTAACCGCATAGCTTGCCATTGATATCGCTGTCTGACAAGCTTTCCTGCTGCTTGTCCAACTCTATCCGTTAAGGCTTTAGCTTGTAGGGTTAACAGGAGCTGAGTGGGAGGATTCCCTGCCCCCAGTGACTGGTCTGCCCTTCCAGGTCTTGCCGATCAGCCTGGAATACTGAGGACCAGTCTGGCTCAGGATCCGAACTAGTCACGGAGAGCTGGCTCGATTCTGACATTCTATTGCCAGGCATGTCACCTTGCAGCCAGTTTAGCTCCAAGCAAGGAGACCCTACTTACTTTCCCCCCCGCCCCACCCCCACCCGGAGGATAGTCATTAGTTTGGCATTTGACATCTGACAAACATGGGGCTTGAACCCTCATTGGGTGGATGGCCTGCGACCTTCCTGGTGGGCCACACAGCTCTGTGACACACGTCCCTTCCCATTGAGCGATGGTCCCACCGGTTGGAGGTGTGGAGTTTAAGCCGCAGCCAATCAGGTGGGTTCCAGGCACTGGACGTATGAATGTGTCTCACAAACTGGGATGCAGGTAACACCTTCCAGCAGCTGTCGCCCCAAGCCTCAGATTTTCCTCATCAGCTGTCAGGCATCTGCCTTCAGTGTGGTGGAAGGATCTTTACAGGACAGTTTGTGAGGCGCCAGCCACCTTC